AGCAGCAGCAGCGCAGCAGTCAGCAGCGCGACGGACGGCGGCGATGCGCGGCACCGCTCTGATGATGGCTGCACGTGATTACGCTGGCGGTGCCAGGTGCTCGACGATTTACTAATAAGCGTACGTAATGAGCTGACAATACATCCACACGGAAGGGGCGCGATAATCACTGGAGAGCGTGGAGAGATGGGATACGAGTGTAGAAGAAATTAGGGTAAGTGTGGTAAGCGGGGTCACAGATGTGCAGGAGGGGGTAGTGGGGGAGAGAGCGCCGGAGAGGGGGGGGGAGATTGTGAGGGTGAAAGGAAATATGGAAGGGTGGGATCACAGGCATTGAACGTCTCAATAATAAATAAACGGTAAATAAAGACGAAATGTATTTACTACCAAAGTCTTAATGTTTCTTCTATCTCTATTTCCGCTATTATTGCGATAATTACCGTAAATGCCGCCTCAAAATGCTCATCTGCAATACACAAGTACACAACGCACGCCGCTGTGCACAAACAACAACAAGAAGAGCATATCATTTCGTGTTTATTTCCCTCTTTTTTTTATTGAGACGTTCACGTGCCTGTGAGTGGAGGAGTGAGGGTACTTAAGTGTGATAGATGGTCACAGCTTTGCAAGGTGTGAGCGTGATAGGACGAGTCTGGGAAGGTTCAAAGAATCACGTCACAATAGAGGTGACAAGAAGCTCTGAGAATCGATGCATATATATATATATAGTTAGTATGTATATATATTATATCATATAGAGGTAACATAAGTGGTAATTCTGTGTGTTCTTCTGGTGGTATCTTGTGTGTAGGCAACGTGTATAGAATGCCAGACTGGTGGTTCTGAAGGTTGTACCAATGTCGGCTTAAATCTATAGCTACCTGGCAAAAACTCGCAGCTGTGGGATCTCGCTTCTGATTAAATCACTTTGGCGGTGAGAATAAATCAAACGGTGTCGGAATCAGTGTCGTACAATTACTACGTCTTATGTCCAGGCACCTGAACGAGAGAGAGAGAGAGCGCGCGCGTGCGAGAAAGAGAGAGAGAGGGGGGAGAGAGAGAGTAAGGGTGAGAGCGGCTTAGTCACGTACACTTACTTGTAGTCGAGAAAGGTAATGCAGAGCATATATATCATGCAAACGGGAGCAATTGGGAGTGTAAGAGGATTAGTACAGGGACAAGGAGAGGAAACTAGCGGATGTGATGGTAGAGCGGAAGGAATAAGAAGAAAGAGAGCGAGAGAGAGAGGATGAGAATGAGAGAGGGAGATAAGACAGAACAGGAGGAGAGAGAGAGAGAGAGAGAGAGAGAGAGAGAGAGAGAGAACGTTATATATATATCTATATATATATCTATATCTATATATATATATATAAATATATATATATAGTGCGTGTGCGCGTGCATGCACGCGTGCGTGCGTGTCTGTGTGTGTGTGCGCGCGTACGTACGTGCGCGCAAGCGCGCGCGTGTGTTTTTATGTGTGAGGGGGTGTGAGAAGAGAGCGAGGGAGAGAGAGAGAGAGAGAGAGAGAGAGAGAGAGAGAGAGAGAGCGATAGAGCGATAGAGCGATAGACAGAATAAGATATAGCAAGATAGAGAAAGAGAATGAACGAGGGACAGAAAAGGCGGAGGATAACATGATTCAGAGTGTGCAGTACGCATCCAGCGATCCAGGTATAATATCACTAGGCACTGACGTAGCATAATGTGTTCCTGAAGAGCAGGTGTTAACATATCCCAGGCGTCGTTCTGCAGAGAACTAATTTAATTAAATTTCCCAATTAAACTATGCTGGGCATCGTGCCGATATAATTCTCCTTACTGCTGTTGTTTCTGTTGTAGTAGTACTTAGTGCTATTATTTGTGCTGTATTTGTTGTAGTACTTCATGCTATTATTTGCGCTGTATTTGTTGTAGTACTTCATGCTATTATTTGCGCTGTATTTGCTGTAGTACTTGATGCTATTATTTGTGCTGTATTTGCTGTAGTACTTGATGCTATTATTTGTGCTGTATTTGTTGTTGTACTTGATGCTAATATTTGTGCTGTATTTGCTGTAGTACTTAGTGCTATTATTTGCGCTGTATTTGTTGTAGTACTTGATGCTATTATTTGTGCTGTATTTCCTGTAGTACTTGATGCTAATATTTGTGCTGTATTTGTTGTTGTACTTGGTGCTATTATTTGTGCTGTATTTGTTGTTGTACTTGATGCTATTATTTGTGCTGTATTTTCTGTAGTACTTAATGCTATTATTTGTGCTGTATTTGCTGTTATATAATGCTGCTGTACTACACAGTAATAAACAGCGCCTCATGCTGTGAGAGTGGCCCCCGCATGCTTCCTTCTTCAGGCGCTGCTGCGCTGTTTCTGCATTCGTCGGTTTTCCTCGGCAGTCATCTGTAACGGCGGAACGCACGAATGACCGCTCCCAGGCAGCCGAGAAATACAGAAAATAACACCGAACTTAAAGGAATATATTATAAACGAAAATTATTTCATTATAAAGTATAAAATATGTTATATATATAAATATTTTTTAATAATTATTATAAATATAAAAAAAGAATATATAACTATAATAAATAAATAAATAAATACATATAAATATAATAATGTAAACGTTAAAATATTGTAATTATTCTTTAAATTATAAGATAATAAAAAAACAAAAATCCCCGCCGTGTGTGTCCACCGGTCCGGTCCTTGCACAGTTGCGCCAGCGATCTACAGAAAGACCGCAAGAACTGAACAACAACAAACACACACAAAAAACAATCACATTCACGAAATTACCGTGGCCTAATTGTACGTGTTGTGCTCAGCGTCAGTTGTGTATAGTGTTGTGTTGCAGTAATGGCGGCGTTGATGTATACGCACCATGCAGGCACTCCCATCATAATAGTAGGGGCTCTGGTTTTTTAATTATTTCCGAATATGGCAGCGGGAGGTGGACCTCCTGTTTTTTAATTATTTCCGAATATGGCAGCGGGAGGTGGAATTAGAGTCCCTTTATGTAGAGGGTGTTGAAGCTTCACGTCACAGCACGTTGGATAGCGACTCAGCATACGATCAGATGAATAAGGGCTTCAATTACATCCGATGCCCGCGGTAGCTACGCGTTAGATGTTGTTCATAATAGACCAGCTAATGAAACACAGCTAGTTATTAGAGAGAGATTCAGCGTCCACTAACAAGCTATAAACCATCGAGCCCCGTGAGAGTGAGATTAGCTCTCTGAAATAATAATAATAAGAAGAAGAAGAAGTATAATAAGTGTGTGTGTGTGTGTGCGTGCGTGCGTGTGCGTGCGTGTGCGTGTGCGTGTGCGTGTGCGTGTGCGTGTGCGTGTGGCGTGTGCGCGCGCATGTGTGTGCGTGCGTTGCATGCCCGCGCGTGCGTGTGCGTGTGTGCGTGTCTACTGCCTCGCGAGTGCGCGTGCGCGATGCGCGTGCGTGTTTACGTGCTTGCGTGTGTACATGCGTTGGCATGCCTGCGCGTTGTGCGCGTGTATGTATGTGTGTGTGAGAGAGAGAGAGAGCGACGGGGCTTCTTTTTAGCTCATCTGACATAGTCAGATGCAGCTTGTAGAATCGCATGATCGTCCGTGCGTCCCGTCCGTCGTCCGTCCGTGCGTCAACAGTTGGGGCACAAATCTTAACCGCTCGACGTACGGTCACGATATTCGGCACATCGGGGGGGATCGTCAAAACGAGTTGGGATGTCGAAGCTGGGGTCAAAGGTCAAGGTCAAGAGGTGTAAAAGAAGGGGGAACATTCACTCCTTAACTTAAGGTATAGGGAGGAAATGCAGAATTGCGGCACAAATCTAAAGGCTCGACCTAGGCTCGTGATAGTCGTGTATAGGCATCATGGTAGGAAAAGCAATCACTGCTGCCGAAATTGGAGGTCACAGGTCAAAGGTCAGTGGCACAGGGCAGATTTTAGACATTTTCTGAGGACATGGTCTGACGGAGCGATTGAAAAAACTTTTTTTGTTTCAGCGGTGACCTAGCATTTTTATGGCTTTATTGAGAGGACCATGAAATGTCCCTTCTTGCTGACATGCGAAGAGTAAGTGTCGGATAACGTTTTTGACCCTCAAGAGGAGGGTTAAACATGGATTTGTTTACTGTCAACAAAGGACTGAACTGCTTTTGCTAAGTAGAATCCTCCCCCCACCCTCCCCTTCCCCTCCCCCACCCCTCCCCCACCCTTCCCCACCCTCTCCCCACCCTCCCCCTACCTCATCTGCGATAGTGGGCGTGTCCTAACCATGATGTGTACGCAACTGCGTGTCTGCATATCTGCGCCTAACAAATGTGGTACTACGCCGCTATTATCATCATCATAATCATCATCATCATCATTATCGTCATCATCATCATCATCATCATCATCATCATCATCATCATCAGCATCATCAACAACATTATCATAATCATTATCAACAACAACAACAACACTATTACCACCACCACCATCAACAACAACAACAACAACAACAACAACAATAATGAAAACGACAATAATAATAACAACAACAATAATAATATTAATATTATTATTATAATAGAATTGTTGTTATTGTTGTTGTTATCATAATAATAATCATCATCATCATGAACAACAACAACATCAATAACATCATCATTATATATTTACATTGCTACAACATATTTTTACACTATCTATAATTTATACACTCATGAGTATTCTCATAAATTTATTTCGCATAGAAGCCATTCGCAAAGATCATTCAAACATGTATATTATTAAGTGGATCTCTGTGCGGGAGTAATTTAGACTGAATCATAATCCTCATATGAAATACCTAGCCTGATTGACGGACGGACGGACGGACGGACGGACCGATAAATAAGTCACAGACTGTCATATAACACAAATAATAAAATATACATATCATAAATTCATAAAACAGTAATAATACATATACATATACATATATATAATCATAAAGCACAGTGGCACTATACCTCCTGGTCCAGCTCCTGAAAGCAGGGGGCGCTGGTGTTGCGGTAGAGTTCGATAACTGCCAGTAGGTTACCGCTGGGGTCAACAATGGGCTGACAGAGCACAGAGCGTATGCCTGTACCACTCGCTCCAAGACCCTCAGGATACAGTGGGTCCTGTAACAGTTAAAGAAGTGCCACCGTTTCCATCCTAATCATATACAAATATATACTTAATATATTAGTTATATATATATATATATATATATATATATATATATA